GTGAATAGTGAGGGTGGCGGAAAGTGGAGTGAGTAGTCTATTTCCCCATGGCTCCCAGCCACCGTGGTGAGCTCCCCATGGCTCCTGGCTGCCATGGTGAGTTCCCCTGACCCACACAAAAAGCTCCCAGCTGCTGCAGTCTTCCCCACACACTCACCACAGCCAGTGAATGTTACCTACTTTAATCTTGTAAATAACTCTCATCTCTTTTTTTCTAAGTAATAAGCATTTAGTGAGTTTATTACAAGACAGTCTTCAAGAGTTGTCTTTGATTTTGGAGCTGAGTACAACTGACCTGAGGTAACTGACTGGTCCTTTGGGACTGGGAGTAACCTGAATATTATTATGATTTTCAGTTTTCAAATAAATAGCTCAGAGGGGGGATGGTGTGGGGGGGAACAAGAGGTAAAAAAAGAAAAAAAGAGAAAGTAATAGTCAATTAGAGTGTCCATGCTAAATGAAGCCTGGGCACTCGTTAATAGATCTCAAAATGACCATATTGTTTTAAACCAATTTCAAAAGCCAGCGCGACAGGGAAGCTTAATTTCATTTACAAGTTTGATTCCTACAACAGAAGTCTAAACAAAGACGTTGACTGGATGGCCAGCTACATTCCACATCCTAATGACATAAAAAAACAAAGAGTACTTAAAGTGGGTACTAAGTATTCTTATCATCTTTAATTACGATAGATACTCTGACAATTTCTTTCCCCTTTTTCTTCCTTTTCCCCTCCATCCCCTCTCACTGCTAATTATTTGAAAATTGGACATCTTAAACACCATTCATCTGAAGAAGTGGGTTGTGCCAACAAAAGCTCATGATACCATCTACATTTGTTGGTAGTCTCTAAGGTGCTGCAAGACTATTTGTTGTTTTTTAAGTTTTTCCAGTTACAGACTGACACTGCTACCCCTCTGAATACTTTTCATGGTTAATGTAGACTACTGTTCTTTGAACAGACTAAAATATGATCTGTTGGCGCCATCTGGTGGTTTGGATTTCACTTTTTCCCAATTAAGGCAAGTTGCTTTTTCTGTGAGTTTTCTTAAACAACAGAAATCATATATCATGATGAAAATGTTTGATAATTTCTGACCAACTATCACCAAATACAGCAAATTTATTTCAATTTTGTGAAACTACCCGTATGGAGCTATCACACAACCTGCCTTTTGATTTAGAGAAAATGTGACTGAGTTGGGTCCTGTCCCACCATATGCACACACTTTTATGTCATGGGTGATCTGATTGAATTGAGTGGGACTACTAATATGTATAAAGTTAAGCACATATGTAAACATTGTAGCACTGGGGAGCCTCATGGATAGCAATATTTACAGAGTGATAATTATTTTTGTACATTAAGAAGTAACTTGTACAACATTCAACTTTTCGCATGTTTTGATGTTTACTAGTTTGATTAACCAATTAGCTCTTGATTGCTATATTCACATAGTATATCATAAATTATATACAGAATTTTACATTTGAAGAAGCACACATTGCAACGAGGAAAAAGAAACTGTTACTGAATTAATGCTATTCGTTAAAACTGGTTTTTGGAGGTTATATGAAAGGCGGGGACGCTTTCTACTACTTGTCCAAATAATGAAAGTTTTAAGAACACTAATAAAAAGTGAACATTTTCACCAGAACATAGTTTGAAAATCCAACAGACAAACTGAAATACACTCAGAAGTGTTTCTAGTAGCAGAGTGCCATCTGGTGGAAAAAGAGAGTCCTTTCATAAAGAAAGATTATTTAAGGTGGTCAGTAATTCTTCATATCAAAGACTTGAAACTAATGAGACAATGCAGAAATATTAAATTGAATTGCACAATAGAGGGATCTCCTTGTTGAGCAGTGGTATGCTGTAAGGTTAATTCTTAATAAAATGCATATTTACAGCATATTTATCAAATATTTTATATGAAAAGCATGTAAATTAAGTGCAATTACTAGTTGGTACATATTACCAGATTTCTACAGTAAGGTCATAGCCTTTATGAGCACAGCTAGACTATAGTTATAACTAGACTGAAGTTGAGTATCAACAAAAATATAGACCTTCAAACTCCCACTGTATACTAGAATTTCAATCCATAATGTATTTTGACAACTTTCTCTGTCTTTCGAAACCAAAATGCTTGATATGTTTGAGGGAATGGTGCTGAAGTATAGCAATCAAAATCCCTTAGAAATAATTGTGACTTACATTTTGACACAGCAGATCTGACTCAAAACTCACAACCATTTTAGAGTAACTCCAGACTTTGACTTATAGGCAATTACTCCAGATATACGATAGTATAAGTGAACAGAAAGTCAGAAACATTTTGTCTTACAAGATGTTACATTTCTCTGCCAAATATATTTCTTAAAGACTCTCTAGCTTATCAAACTTCATTGGAAATAAGTATTTTATAATATCAATATATGATATGTATAAATACATATACAAGTGTATGTAATGTTGCTTAAAACATGAAGGAAAATGAGGGTCGAGACTGACCTATTTTGTTGCAGTGAAGGGTTGCCATTCAAAATGGAGTGTCTTAGGTAAATAAAATGGCACAAGTGTTCACTGTACCACAAAGGCCACATCATAGAGAACAATTGTTTTGATGTCTGAATTCTACCTTTACATTCAAGTGACACTGAGGAATTCTCTAAATCCAGAAGTGCTGGATCAATAAGTATAGTATTTCTGTTAATACTCAGACATTTGTTTATTGGTTCTTTACCCTCATTTCCAGAGAAAGGCCTTCATGGGAAGAAAAATAGAATATTAAGTCAATCGTCTAAAAATTATTTAAAATATATTAAAATTAAGTAGATTACCTATACCACTATGGTTAAAGTTTTAAAGAATATTATTGACTGGATCTACATAAATGTCTCTCTTTAAGCGATTTAAAAGGAGCGATTTCCCAGAACTACAGGTGAACAACAGATGGTAATCGTTCTGAGGACTGTAAAAAAGCAGGAACCTGGATGGACACTTTTTTGTAACCAGTAAGTCCTGTTCTTAGACATAACTTCACCTGAAGAATTGTTTTGCCTTTCACCTGTATTTACATAATATGCAGGATCACTATGAAATCTAAAAATGAGCAACAGGAAAGAAATATAAAATGTCTTTGCACTAAGTAAGCTATAGTTGTAATATCAGACAGTGAAACGTGGCTGGATCGGTTCAAAATGATCCAATTAATGAGGACATTATTCAACCGGTCTGAAAACTTCAGAAATGCTATCAACTGAACCCTCAGTAACACCACTGTCTGCTGGATCATTGGCCTTGAAAATGTAACTGCCTCGAGCACTTGTCACTTGGAGCCTGGGTCTGGCTGTGAGAGCAGAACTCGAGCGTTCACCTGCCCAAAGTCCGCCGTGGTGAGGGCTTCCCTTTCGGACACCGGGCTCTGAGCAGGGGAGGGAGGGAGAGACCTGGCCTTGCCGCCTTTCCTTCCGCATCTTTCCCGGGGACGTGACAAAAGCAACGCTCCCCTCTCATGTGCTCCTTGCATGTTAAGCAGTGGTCGGAGACAACGGGGCTGGGGCCCCAAGGGGAGGGGGGGGAGCAGGGCTTCCCTGGAGAGACAAAGGCGGCGCAGGGGGAATTTGGAGGGAGAAGCAGAGACTTGTTGCTGGTGAGCCC